AGGTCAATTAGAATGCTAAAATCTGTACCTCTCTACAGGCTTGCAAAAACATTGAAAAGTTTTAAGAACTACTCCTCTGGTTTCACTGCTACTTTCAGCTTTTCTATCATACCACCTCAAACTGGTTGTCTCAGCACCTTTCCTCTCTAATGCCATTTTATGGATCACCTCCTGATCTTGTTGTTAAATCAGTGCTAGAACCCTTATTATAAAGAGCAAAAGAATCCTTGAGAAATGGAAATTCAGTGTGATGAAAGTATGATTCACTACAAGATCCCAAACTATGTAACAATCTCATGATAGTGTTGCAGTTTGAGAACATCTAAAAAGTAGTGTCATCTCTCTGGCACTTCTTTGTTGTGGGGGCCAGACAACAAGTACCTTTGCACTAAGTGCATAGGGAAAATAAATTATGAGCTTCCCAACAGAAGTCCCTTAGCATTTGGCAGTGAATGAATTAGGATTTAGTAATTAATCTGAAGAAATTACTTGGTCAGATGAATAGATCTCTTTTCACTCTCTGAATTATCAAAGGTGAATGTTATATATTAAAACATGACAATATCATAAAAATAGCCGTTGGAACAGAAGGATTGATCAGATGACTAAAGTAAGGCTGTGTTATCAAATTAAATAATTCAGCATGCTGTTTAGACTACTGAGTGAGTACTGTGAAGTAGAAAATACAGGACACTCAACACTTGTATAGGGTACTGTGCTGTGGAAGTTTTTACTATTTCTCCGTCTATATCATAGGTATAGCTTAACAGAAGGTTATGTGGTGGCACACATGTATAGGCTGCCTTTACGCAGCACTGTCTTTTATTATTTTAGCAACTTAAATGTTTTCTACTATTTGGCTATACAACAGTTCTAACTAGGAACTGATTCTCTGCTAGTTAGAGTACCATCTAAAGAACTCTGATATGTGACCATGCTGCTCTTTTAATCTGGGGCACCTGTTTTAATTAAACAGTTAAAGCTGCTGAAACTTTTCTAGATTAATCCTTCTCAGCAATACCTTTGTGAAACTGGTAGCTAGTGAATTAGAACCTGACCTCACACAATGGTCTTTTTCTTGCTCATCTTCAAAGATCTTTCAATACCAACATGCCAAGAAAGTTCACAACGGAATGGACTCATGAAAACTGCTGTCCAGATTAAATTCCAACACTCATCAAAAACCATTCACATCAAACCCACAAGACCACTTTGCATCCCAGTAACAGTTTATAAAAAAAATTTCAAATTCTTCTCACAGAGCTGTATGAGTTACTAGTTTCATTATTACCAGAAAACAAATTAGCATCTCTGCAGATTTCTGTTGAAACAAGAATGAGGGAGGTGGGGACAGGACCTTACTCCATGGTACTGTTCCGTGTCAAAGTAAGGTACTATGAATGGCTAAGTCATGACACAAACAAGATCAAGAGCTGCAGACACTGCTCTATCTTCAACTAGTTTACAGAATTCCAAAGCATTCAGCTTAAAAGACCATCCTTGAAGCCTATGACAAAGTCAGTATACTAAAGCAGTGTTGTCAATCACAGCTAATTCACCTTCAGACTAAAAGTTCATGTCAAGGATTCTGATCCTTGACTGTTGATAGCCTTACGTCACATCATGATCAATCCACTGAGAATACTGTTGAGAACAAAGACTACATAGTTCCCACATTAGGATGGAGTGAAGAGTCAGCCACTAAAACAAGCTACTAGGAACAGCATGCATCTGTCTCAGTATCTTCCCATTAGCCTAGGTCCTGCCAAGAGCCCAGCAGACAAGTCAGAGGGAGACCAAAGCCAAAGTTACAGAAATGGCACACAAATTAATCGCGCCATTTGTCTCTTGTCTAAGAAGGGTAAAAGGTAGATCTGAGAAAGGACGTGTTTTGGCAATAAGGATGGACAGTCTGAATCTTAACTAGAATAGATATCACATCAGTAGTTCTGTTCTTTTTCCACCACATGAAGTGGCATTAGGCATGTCAAATCTTACCTAAGAATTAGTAAGCTTTGATACCACTGTTGTTCTTGCAATTTTTATGTAAAACATCCACCAACATGAAGGCCATATTAAGCCAAGTAGAACACCACAATGATTCTGACACCATATAAAGACAGCTTCCCTTAACTATAGAACTGGCCTTATCAAGACAGAAAGGAGTCTGAAATTATAATAATACTTTCTAATATTTTCCCTCATGGGAACAGACTTGGACTAAGGATCAAAAATGCCAGAAAAGGAACACAAAATTTAGATACATGACTTGAACAGAGAAGAGAAGCTGCAGGTAAGCAAAGAAAGCAACAACAAAGGCAAAGCTGGTACTTCCTTGCAGCACTGGACTCTTTCAGTGAACTGCACATAAAATACAGAAAGCGATCCGAGAAACAGCAGCAACATGTACAGACTCCAGAAAACAACTCATTAACAGAATACAGAAGCCTACAGGATTCTGAGCTCAGCTTGGTGGACAACAGATTAAAAACCAAACCCACAAAACCAACACTAAGTCAGGGCAGTGATGACACTACATTATCTATGAGGTTTTATACATGCCAAATCAAGAAGGAACAGTTACACTAACAGAGCATCAGAATAATAATTTAATTTACAGATAAATTAGAAAACCCAAACTTCTTTCATGCAGACATTTTTCAGTTAATCTGGACTCCACCTCACCTAGCACCACACCTCTGGGGAAATATAGTCTAGAGACCTATACCTCAATCTTCAACAGTTAAGGATTGTATTTTGTCCCATCACCCTGTCTACTGTCTTACTTCCAGGACTGAAAGCAGTTTCTTAGACATTTTTTTATATTCTGTGGTATTTGTAACATTGGAGTTTGCCCAGATTCACAATGCTGTCCTTGGAAATGCACACTAGTTAAAAGGAAAAAGTTAGAGCATGTATGCCATAGCTCTAAGCTAGGCAATATATTTTTCCCTGATGAAATGGTAGCAGTGCAACACCTCCTTCCAGGAAGACCCAAATTTAATGAGCTTTGACAGTTTTAACAAGGACCACAGAATTTAAAAACAAAAAACCCACTACGTATGTGTAGGAACGTCACAATAGACCTAAAACCAGTAAATCAAAAGCATTCAGACACACAAGTCTGATGAAGCTAACACTGGAGGGAAAAAAGTTAACACTTTTTGCAACTGCGAAGTAACACCTCAGGTGGGAAAACAAAGCAAATTGCCTACACATAAGGTTTACCTAAGTATCTTAGAGACAGGCCTCAGTGAAACAGCCAGCTTTGCAAGCGAAATTATTTGCTTGCAAATAAAAGTCTGCTTGCAAAGTTATTTGCCTTCAGAGGCGTAAGAGTGAGGACAAAAATTACTTGGTACAACCTCTACTGCAGTAAAATGAGGCTATTTACACACACAGATCAATCAACCAGTACAGAATTTCCACAATCAGGAGCTGTCACCTAAATGTATCCTTAAGCACAGTTTTTTCAGCAGTGGTTTTAACAGCAGCAAAAACTGAACCACAGGTTAGTCCCATCTACAATCAAACCAAGCTCTTCTCATGCACTATCAAAACACCTTAATTTTTACTGAATAAGCTTGTCAGTGATGTTTGAAACTTATTCCCATGCCTCCTTCTGCCAGGATGGTATCGACATAACAAAAGCATGAACTTCCAACAGTATGCTTTGATCCATGGTGTAAAGCACTCTAGTTCTTCCCTCTAGTCAACAAACTTGGCAAGGCTGTAGGACAAACCGCCAACAGAATCCTCTTCAGGAGGGGAAAGGAAAGAAGTCTTTCCCAGTTGTAATGTCCATCACTGGTCCAAAAGAGGATGTGAAAGTCTCATAGCTACTGAACAGCAGTTCTGACAGACTCTTTGCCTTGCTTTAGCAGAACTAATGAGGGATGACGGGAGGACTGCTGGTTGGATTTGACGCAAATCCAACCAACAGTCTTTTGCCATCCTTCATTAGTCCTGCCCAAACAAAGTAACATGATAGTTAGAATCTGGCAAATAGTACGAAAAGCACCAATACAAGACTCAGTTATGGCACCTTCAACATTCTGCAAGTTTCTAAAACTAGGAATACTAAATTAAAAAAATAGTTGTTTTGGTCAAAAGATGATGACTGAAAATGTCACTGATGCATGGCAAGAGCATCACTGAAGTAACAGCTGCTTCTCAGCAGTCTCACATGAGACTTGATTGTAGTGGTTTAACCTCAGCTGGTGATTAAACACCACACAGCTGCTTGCTCACTCTCCCCTCCACAGTGGGAGATATCAGTAAAAAAACCTGAAACTCATGGGTTGAGATAAAGACCACTTAACAGGGCAAAAAAGGGAAAAATAGTAATAAGAATATACAAAACAAGCGATGCACAATACAACTGCTCACCACCCACTGTAGTACACTGGAAAGACAATCTTTCACACACCATCATCATTACTAAGGAATTGTCTGAATTTAACAACTAATATAGGTACACCATACACAGTTTGTAGTGAAGTCCGTGAGAATAAAACAGTAAATAGTCAGCTGATTTCTGCATTTTACTATAAATAAGACTTCAAAATTAAGACTCTGATAAGACATCATCTTTGGACAACTCTAGTATGTGATCTTCAAAATATTTAACAGTCTCATTACTAGGGAGATCATTATTATAACTGAATTTAGCAGCATGTTTTATAATCTGTAAAGTCATGATTCATCAAAGTTATTCCACAATTTCACTGCAGTCTGATAAAGGTATGATGCTCCAACATTTCTGGGAATATTTCATAGGACATTTAGAATGGAATCTCTTCCAAGGCTGAAACTATACATCAATAATTTATCAGATTTTTCTTCCACAAAGACTCCTGAGAGGATAAATGAATTCTACATGACTATGGAGCTCAACCAACCAGCAAACTGACTACAAGCATAAGCTTCCTATTTCAATCTAATTTTTTTTTTTTTTTTAAAAAAGGGAAAATAAAACAGTCAATATCTCAAGAACTTACCTTCAGACTTCAACTTTGTAAGAACAAAAATCAGGTAGTTGTTGAAATCAGGATACTGATTGAGTTGTTCTAGTTTCTGAAGAAAGAAACTGTTAAGGAAAGTTGAACCTTCACACGTAGCATTTATAGATTTCCAGATACAAAGATTATTGAGTTATGTATTGCTGTATCATTTCAACCAGCTGTTACTATAAGCTCACAATATATAGAGTATGAGCAATCTAAAAACAGTTTCTAAAACCAAGTTTCTACAATTTTCTTACTGAAGCAATAACTTTTAGTTATGGGGACATATGAAAAAAAAAATAAAAATCCAGGGATCAGAAAGTAACAGATCCTTAAAAATATTTGTGAAGCCATTAAAAAAATAAACCTTCCTCTGTATCATTTCAGATTTCAATAACTACACTGAGAAGCCCACCAAACCCACAGAATACACTGAGACACAATCCCATAATGTATCTTTTTTTACCCCCTCCAAAATACATAAGAGCATTTCAGCATAATGCAACAGCTATGATTTTGATAAGCTACTTATTTTAATATTGGACATATACTTGTTTGCGATTCTAACTAGGCACAGCCTGAGCTTTCATCAATGAAAACCTATTTTAAGTCAGTGTAGTGTCACCTCTAAATTACTACACCTACTAGATACCATCAGTATGCTAAACAAGACATTTAACAAAGAACGATTTTTAGAAGCAGTAAGATTATTTGCTCCTTAGGCATTTACTTTAGTTGACGTTTAGCTAAATCTCTAAAACATTTGAAGTAGCTAAATCTTAGCCAAACACATGTATGTTAGGACTTGATGGCCCAGTAAAGTTATAAAGGATCAATTTCCTTCCAGTGACCAACAGCCAGTGTCTCAATTACAAACTTAAGAAACTCCATGTCAGGCTGTTTATCTCAAGTAGTAACTTTGATAGTAAAGCCTGCCATTTTTCCACTTAGCAAAACACTAAAGCATACCTATCACAGCCACAAGGCTCCTTTGCTGTGAAACACACAGAAGATGGAACGTAAGCAGGTGGATGGTCAGGGCAAGAGAAAATAATGGCCTCTAAATAGACTAGAAATTAAAAACCACACACCCAAAGACTGTTGTCAAAGGTGCCAAGCCAAAGAGCTCGTTCAGGAACAGCCAAGATAAGGGTAGCATGTTGCAAAATATTTTGTTCTCCAAGCTTCAACAGCATAATCACCAGAAGTCAGTTGAACATTAGTAAAAACTGTGAATTTCATTGGATCAAACAGTAAGGAGCCAGCAGTGAGCAGAAAGAACTGAACATCAGTATTTAATAGAGACTTAATGAGAAAACACTTAACTGGTCTAGGAATCAAAGACTAGTTTATAGGCCGTATTTGCTTAACTTCTTCACCCACTTTTTTTTTTTTTTTTTACTCAAAGAAACATCTAACACGTTCATTTGAAAAATATCTGAAGCCTTACCAATTCATAATTGTTAACAAAGGGTTTTGGCTAACCTATACTCCCCACTTTGTTATATCTGAGTTTTAAGCACTCAAATGTGCCAAAACAGTGTCATAAAGAAAGACCATGACAGAATCAACACACTGACAATCTTACAAAAAATTATGGACTGGCAGTACTTTAAATTTGAAACCACTAAACACCATTCTGCTTGGACGTGCTACTAAGTCGCATCCTACAATACAACAGCCATCACAAATTTTTTGTGGAAACAATCTCAAAGAACATATATATACATACGTATTTTACATTTTTTTTTAATTATAGGACATGTCCTGTCAAGTTGTATTAGAACGTTTTCCAAAAAATGACGTATAACACAATGGTAAAAATGTACCACTTCTCTAAACTTCACAGGGCAACATATGAGGACCTCCTTGAAAGCACAGGTATCTCAGCAGAGCAGGGAGTCACCACTACCACTTAAAAAGAATTTCAAACATCACTTAACAGCACTTTTGTTCAGACTATTTCTACTCATCTTCAAGACAGACAGCATCAGCGATATTGCTCATCCCACTTCTACACTGCTGTTTTTCAATAAAAAAAAACATCTGAAGCAGAGCTTTAAAATGTAATTTTAAATTAAAGCTACACTGTAAACACTGTTGCTATAAACACTTTTGTATGTTAAATACTAAAGAACATCAGTTCACATCTGGGATATTATCAAAACACTTTACTTGATTGGACACTGCTGGATTTTTCAAAGGAAGAAACAGCATCTTAAAAATCTGAAGCACAGCTGCAAGAACAGGATGATCAAGATTAAAACTACCTCCACCTTTCAGATAAAGAGCAGAAGCCTTCCTAAAGTTGACCACATCTGTTCCGAAAGACTAGAAATAAAGCAAATTTGGCTTCAAGCTAAACTCTTAAAATAATGTAAACGTATATACACATATGTATGTTTCCACCAATTTAAATTCTGCTGCCTTCTGTAAAGAACTTCAAACAAATGCCTTTAATAAAAAGGGATTAAAATGATAAACTCATATTCTTCATAGTTTCAAGTGTTCTAGATATTTTAAAGCACTTACATAGCTAGCTCAAGGAGCAGGGGGACAGTAGAGGAGAGATTTATTTTTCAAGACCTATGCTTCTGCTAGTCTTAATTTACAATTTTACTCTCTCGATCTTTGTTCCTTAACACCTGGCTATTTCATCACTTCTACAATCAAGAGAGACTTGTGGATTGTTGGGTTTTTTATTCCCCTAAGACAAACACCAAACGCACTGCAGAGGAGCACACGAAGCCACACACAGTAGATTTCCCCCTTCCCGTAAATTTTAACGGGTGCAACGAGCAGTATTTCAGGCTCAGGCTTCTAGGTAAGCAGAAACATCCTCACAACGCAGCAGAATGCGCAGTGTCAGAGCCGGCAGGCCAACGAAGGCGCGCAGGCAGCGGCTCCACCAGGGGCACTCCCCCCAGCAGATATGGCTTTCGCCTCGAATCCCGGTGCCGGATTACCTCAGGAGGTCCCTGACCGCCCTGGCTTTGCCGCAGGAGCGACGGGCACCCCTTGCGGCGGCGCCTACCCCGGTCCCCTCGGCGGGATCCGCCGGGGCGAGGGCCGCGCGCCGGCCCAGCGTGGAACCCGGGAAAGCGGCAGGAACCCGAGGAGCCGCGCCAGAGCCCAGGC